AGAATAAAGATCTCAACACAACTCAGCCTGATGGTCAAACTTTAAAACAAGCAAAGAGAAATACATTCAAATAAGTAACAACTTGCACTTTCCAAGTCTAAAAAGCAGCCATCACATTTAACATTTATAATTTCAGAAGCCACCAAGAATTTGTCATCCAAATGTATGTATATATTATGCCATTTTTTGGCACATTCTTTTCTTATAATTTCACAAAAATGAGAGGGCTGTACTACATCGTACTTGTCCTGTTTACTATAAAGTTTTGTTCTTGCAGTGGAATTTGCAAAGAAAATGAGAAAACAGCTTTGCTAAGGTTAAAGAAAGAAGCAAATGATCCCACAAATGTACTATCTTCTTGGGTTGATAAAGAAGATTGTTGCAACTGGGAAGGAGTTTTGTGCCACAATGTGACTGGTTCTGTCATTGAGCTATCGATTAACGGATGGGATTGGTCAGAACTTAAAGGCCTAAAGATTGATGATTTCCAGTGGTTGTCAAGTCTTGAAAATCTTGATAGTTTGGACATGTCTGGTGTGGATTTAAGTGAAGCAACAAACTGGACTGAGGTGATTAGCATGCTTCCTTCTTTGGTTAATCTTCGTTTTTCGAATTGTAGTCTTCATTCAATACCTCCTTTGTTTGATCACAACAGTTCTGTTCTTGAAAATCTTGATCTTTCTTTGAATAACTTTGGCTCTCCGATTCCCGGGTGGGTTTTCAGTTTTGGTAGTCTTGTTTCTCTTGAATTCACTGGTAGTAATTTCACTGGTTCATTTCCTGAGGGTCCTTTTAACTTGACTTCTTTCACAACATTGAGAGCTTCTAGCAACTCCTTTGGTTCTGTTTTGCCTCAATGGTTATTTGATCTCAGTAATCTTGAATATCTTGATTTGAGTTTTAGTGGTCTTGAGGGTCCAATACCAAATAGAGTTGGTGATTTTACCAAGCTTACATATCTTAGTCTTGCTTCCAATAATCTGAATTCCACTATCCCAGATTGGCTCTATGGATGCAAGAATCTTGAAACACTTGCCATGAAGGATAACAGTCTTGAGGGAACAGTTTCAGACTCGATTTCAAATCTGACATCTCTAACTAGTATCGATATGTCTGAAAATTTTCTTTCTGGAAAGTTACCGAGTGTAATTGGAAAGCTATGGAAATTAGAAGATCTCGATCTCTCAGAAAATCGATTTGAAGGAGAAGTATCCGAGATTTTCAATACTATGAATGATTGCCCTCCAATAGGCTCAGGAAATTGTTCTTCTTTGAGGACCTTAAGACTAAATGACAACAAACTGATTGGAAATCTTCCAAAAAGTTTTGGGCAACTTTCTAATCTACAATTCTGTTTCATATCCAATAATAGGTTGGAAGGGGTGTTAACAGAAGAACATTTCACCAACTTGACAAATTTGAAGTTTTTCTCTGCATCTAAAAGTAATTTGACTTTAAGGGTGAGTTCAGATTGGATTCCATCATTCCAAGCTAGTGACATTGTAATGGGCGGTTGGCGCTTAGGCCCTGACTTCCCTTTGTGGATCCAGACTCAACAATCAATCATGAATTTGGACATATCAAATGCTGGTATAGTAGGTGAGGTTCCAACTTGGTTCTGGAACTTATCGTCTCAAATTCGTTTCCTCAACATGTCTCACAACCAGCTCATTGGTGAGATTCCAACTTTCTCAATTTCTGATAGCTCCATGGGAAGTGGAGGTCCTTGGTTGATATACTTGAGTTCCAACAACTTCAGTGGTTTACTCCCTCATATTCCAACCATGGTAACAGAGTTAGACCTTTCAGATAACACTTTCTCGGAAGGTTTAACAAGCTTCTTGTGTGATAAAAAGAATGAATCTTACATGTTGGAGATTCTACACCTTGGGGGAAATCGTTTCTCCGAAGAAATTCCTGATTGTTGGATGAATTGGCCAGAGTTGAGAGTTGTCAACTTGGGAGAGAATAAGCTTACCGGAGGAATCCCAAGATCCATTGGAGCTTTAAGCAATTTGAAATCTTTGGACTTGAAAAGAAACAAACTTTCTGGTCCATTGCCTTCATCCTTGAACAACTGCACAAGATTGTGGAAAATAGACATGAATGAGAATGAGTTAGATGGAAATTTACCACCTTGGTTTGGTACACTTTCAAAGCTGATAGTCCTTAGTCTTCGGTCTAATAAATTCGATGGTGAACTAGCTCCAGAACTTTGCCAGCTCAATGATCTTCAAATCTTGGATCTTGCCAACAACAATTTGTTTGGAGCTATACCTCGGTGTGTTAATAATTTCACAGCAATGGTGAATGGAAGGAAGGAAATTAGAGATGGAGACGACGAGATGGATTATTCTTATTATGTTGGAGTTTTCAGGGAAAGTGCAAGAGTAGCAACTAAGGGCAACATGTATCAGTATGATACCATTTTGTCATTGTTTACTAGCATGGATCTTTCTAACAATAATCTTTCTGGAAACATTCCTATGAGTCTTACAAGTCTTGTTGGATTGAGATCATTAAATTTCTCCCACAATCAGCTGACTAGTAGTATTCCAAGGGACATTGACAAGATGAAGGTATTAGAATCACTTGATATCTCAAATAATCAACTCTCTGGTGAAATACCACAAAGCATTTCGAGTTTGTCCTCTTTGAGCTACTTGAATGTATCTCACAACAACTTATCAGGGCAGATTCCTGTGAGCACTCAACTTCAAAGCTTTAGCCCTTTAAGTTTTACTGGAAATAAACTGTGTGGGCTTCCACTCGTGGAGCGTTGCAGTAAAAATCCAAAGGTTGAAAATGAAGAAGAAGAAGAAGAAGGTGATAATGAAGTGGAATGGTTCTATGTTTCCATGGCAATAGGATTCATTGTGGCCTTTTGGGGTGTAAGTGCTCCTTTGCTTTTCATAAGACCATGGAGACATGCCTATTATAGATTTTTAGATAGAACATGGAAATCATGGCACACATAATTTGTAAAGATGTGACATTGAGGAGATCTCTATTCATGTATACCGGATGAAATTTGTTTATATCTCAGGAAATCCATCACCATTCAGCGTTCTTCGAATTAAGACTTTTTTATATTTGTTGTCTCCATATATATGGGAAATTTGACAATTTTGTTTTGGCAAGGTTTGAGTTATGGAATGAACAAGGAAATTAACAGTTCCTTTTTGTTGTTCTTGTGGTGTCTTAAATGATTCTAAAGAAAATTCTTTAACTTCTCTCTTTTGAAATGATTGAGCAAACCTGCAAATTTAAGTGCTGAAGTTAACAAGAAAAAGGGTAATCTTGTCCTTATACTAGAATTTCCATGGTATTTGTATTATGTATTTGATTCTAAAATACAAGGAAAATCTTCCTAACTGAGTCATAATACATGGATATTTGACGTAATTTACTGCAAGTATTTTTATAACTTGATACAAAAATTTTGCTATTATACACACACGCATACTCCCTTCTGATCATACAAGCACTTTCAGAGATATAGGTTAGCTATCAAAGACACTTCATAAAAATAATAGATTACGGAGTCTAATGGTGACATACCAATAATCTAATGCCTGAAGTGTCTCACATTGTTGAAAACAAGCGAGACTCCATACTTGTTACAACACTCCACTCCACTGCAACCTTGTCCCTTATGCTCCTTCCTAGCTCTACAATAACATTCACTCCGCTTTGACATGCCTCTTCAACAACGTCATTCCATGCTGATTTAATTCAGAAAAAAAAATTGTTAAGGAGAAAAGAGCCTTTATCAGAAACCAAAAAAAAAAAAAAGATAGATCCATTTGTGAGTTAATTTCTCAAACGGTCACTAAACTAACAATTTTTATCTCAAAATGTCACTCAACTAATGATAATTATCTCAGGAAGTCACTCAACTTTGTTTTGTAACAGAAAAAACACTCAACTACTGTTATTTCACCTACAAAGTCACTCAACTAATTCAAGCTATATTTTCGTAGACATCTCAAGACTCAAAGTAATTTTTACTTCCAAACCAGTAGTATTTAAATAGTGATATTAGATCTGACCTAGTTTTACACTTCCAAACTTCCCAATGTTCCCATTCCCTCTTCCAATGTAAAAAGTACAAATATAAAAAATAGTATCTTCGCCCTCATTTTTTCCACACTTCACATTACATAATACATGTCCTTCACGTTTGTCAAGTTATGGAAGCTACAAAAGACATCAGAATAATAATCACACCTGTTGAAGTTCTGTGCACAAGGCAATGATCTCATATATGTACAAACTACTAGATGGTAAAGTTGGTCAAGGAACTGCAGTGTGAGCTATTGTCAAGATAAATTCTTTGAGCACAAGTTCTCTGTATTGGCCACGGTAGACTGATGATAGAACCCAGAAAATGAAAATTAATTAAGTATAAAGGAACAAAATGGTGGTGAAACAACAAGAGAAGAACAAGGCAAAATGATCAAAAAGTATAGCACCTCTTGGAGACTGTCCTGAACCCCAAAAGAACTTTGAGCATCTGCAGGCCTAAAATACACTTGTCCCTACAAGATAGAAGAATGATCAATCTAATATCAAGAGTAAATGGAACAGCAACAATTGGGAGTACACATTATTTAGTTGAAGGATACCCATCCATAGATGGAAGAAGGTTGCTCTTACAGACTTGCACTAATCTGGCTTATAAATTTTTATTTATTTGTTTTTTCTTTTTGGAAAATAATTTTGGAAAAAAGTCGTGTTCGGATTATCAATTTTGAGAAAAGATATTTTGCAAGACATTTGGATTAGAATGTTTTTCGAAACTAGAAAACAAAAAAGTACTCCATGAATTTCATAAACTGTGACTCGAAACCTAAAACACTTACCAAGACCAAGACAAACCTGAAAAAAGATGTGGTCTTCTCTAAACATCAGACAGTCAAAACTAAAATTCATGGATAGAAAATAAGCCATGGAATAAAGATTGTCACAAGAAGGCGTAGCTATTACTGGAAAAACGGCTTGGATGCAAAATTTCCGGGGAAACTGCAAAATGTAAACTAGAGAGTAGAAGGTCACAGTGTGTATTTGGTTAGTCTTTGAGGAAACCTTGTTTGGCATGCGGTTGTGATTGGCTCACAATTTACTGTTTGATCTGACGTTAGTACACCAGAGAAACCATTTATCTTTTAGCCAAATGGCTTTGAATTTAGTTTCTGAAGAATTTTTCTAATCTGTCTACCCAACTTCAGCAAAGCTACAGGAAATGATATCCTGACACACAGCAAAAAACTTTTTACATAATGTATAGATAGTACCAGTCCATGCAATCTAGGTTGAGAGAGATAAGGGCCATCTTCAATTGAAGCAAGTGTACTCAATTGTCCCTAAAAAAGAACAAAGACAACCGAATTAGTTTGAGACAACACCAGAAATCATAGAACACATCAGTGATTGAAGTTAATTGAATCACCAGCCCCAGTATGTTTAAATGGTTGCCATAGCCTTGGGTATTTGTATTCAATTGTCCCTGCAACATACTTGGTAGTTCAGTTATTCTGAAATCATGCACTACATACACAGCACACAGATATACAATTGTAAGTAGCATTACATACCACTCCTTGAATCATTTGGGGGCTGCTATAGTAGCCATCAGGAAATGGAATTCTGGAATATATGTGGCCCTAACATGTATCATAGAATTTGGATCACAAAACCAATGATTATTCGAATACTCCTAAGTTCCAATTTATGTGACTCTCTTTCCTTTATAATCTGTTAAAAAAAATGTCAATTTTCTATATTTGACAAAACAAAAAAAAACTATCTAAAATTCTCCTTTTACCCTTAAATGACATGCTTTTATGCCACATAAATATCATGGCTTGTTAAAACCAGTCAAACACCGCCACATAAAATGGAAAGAAGGGAGTAGTAAATATATTACAAGACACTTATTTTTCACCCCCGTGCCAAATAAGACAAAATTTACAGATAAAATCACCACACCATTGGCTGTATGGCTGAATGTGATCTGAAAGGATAATCCACAGTTGGTTCTCCGAGACCTAATTGTCCCTGCAACATACATGGAATGCATGAGATAAATCAGCCAATATTTCCGTCTTAGGTGTATGTATGCTTATGTAATGCTATGATAAAAAAACCATAAGTTGCCATCTACTATCTATCCCCGCCATGGATATTATCTTCTGCTCTGTATTTACCTAAAAGATACGTAAGAATGAACTAAATCAACACTTAGGGGTCGCTTGGTAGGATGCATTAGAGAAAAATAATGCATGCATTAACTTTGTGTATTATCATTATATTGTTTGGTACAGTTGTTCAACCTATGTATAACTAATGCAAACTTTAGTTATTCACTCTATTTGGTACTATTCTATGTATAACAAATACATGGCAAACCATGGTATTAACAATGCAAAGGTTTTTAGTTCATGCATTAGCGTGGTTAAAGACACAATTATTCCTCAAAACCTTTTTCTCATCCTTTTCACCGTGTTTGTGGAGGCTATTTTTCTAAACAAATAATTCTTTTTAGAAATTATGCTATGTATGTTATTTTACTACACCAAACCAAATAATGCACAAGAAATAATCTCAACATAACTAATACCAAAATTACTTGTCAACATTACTAATACACCTTACTCAACACGATTCTATACACCCTACCAAACGACTCCTGAGTAACTTGCATAATGGAATTAGAAAGAAGATTAACTTACTTCCTTCTCTTTTCTTGCTATGTTCTTTCCGTTACTCTTACTTGGATTGTTACTATCTGTGAATACTTCAAGGTCATTAAGACCTTGATTTGGGAGAGAACACGGTTCTGATTCATTTAAATTTGCATCATTCACTGTCTCACATGTTCTCAGAAAATTTTCCAGAACACTAAATACAATGTTATAACTCTCTTGAGATAAGGACCCTTCATCACCTAGCTCAAATGCCCTTTGACATAGATCATTGTAGCGTTGAACCCTGGAATCAACCAAAGTTACTTGTCTCGTCTTCTCTCTACTCTTTGCACCTTTAGTCCAGCGTCTTAAAACATACTTAGAGGGGATGTTATGCACACCAGCCATCTGAAGAACTATCATCACGTGTCTACAAAGGAATCCATTGTACTCAAACAAATGACAAGAACATGAAGTATCAGATGTCCTCTCATTCCATACAACAATGAATTCTTGATTTACTTCAAAATCTTGGACTCTATATGTGCCATTTTCACCATCATCATTTTCCTTTTTAGGGTGGCAAGCAACCACTCCTAAAACCTCAACTTGGAATTTCTTGAATATCGTATGAGTGTATAAAGTTGACATCTGCTTTTCAAAAGGGGAGGGAGATTTCAATCCTGGTTGTATATGTCTTGTCTCAAAATCAGCATTTGCCTCTCCTTGACACTTCTCTTGCAGCAGTTTTTTATACTGGACAAGAAACTCCTTTAATGTCGTCTTGCATAATATGCATTTATCAAGAAGAGTGATAACGCTTTCTGCTCGTTGCATCGTAGACATTCCTGCCAAGAAGATTTTATTCATGTATGTCGGTACCCACCTTAGCCGATCTTCATACAATGATTTAATCCACAAGTCATTCCTCAAATCAAATCTATCAACCACCTTCCACCACCTCTTTTCAAACAATTCATTGGTCGCTGACCTCAAAATACATTTATTGAATTTGGTGAGAAAACTTTCATGCTGCCTTATGACATGGCCAAGCTTCTCCTGGATCTTACTCAGTACGTGCCACAAACAAAAGCAATGGCGTGAATCTGGTAAAACCTCAGCAATAACTTCTTCCAGTGTTTTGCCTTGATCAGTTAGAATTACTTTTGGAACTTGTCCACCCAATGCCCTGAGCCATGCTCGCATCAACCAAATAAATGTTGACTTACTCTCATCTGCAATCAGCCCACATCCCAGCAATATGGACTGAAAATGATGATTGACACCAATAAAAGGAACAAACTGCAGCTTATATTCGTTTGTAATATAGGTAGTGTCAAAAAGAACTACGTCACTGAAGTTACCACAGTCAAGCCTACATTTAGCGTCAATCCAAAAGACATTTCTCAAGCGTTTCTCTTGATTCAAATCCAATGCATAAAAGAAGTTTGGATTTTCATCTTGCATGCAAAGAAAATGCTCAAGAATAACTTGTGCATCTCCCTCATCTAAAGCCAAAGATTGAGGACTACTATTTGTGCCACCATTCTTTTGCTTCTCAACTTTCTTCATAACACCAGAATGCCTAGACGTCGAGGCATAAGTCTTTTTCGTCCTCCCACGGATAGCATGAAATGCATCTGCATCATTCTTACCCAGATCAATGTTCCTGTGACCTGGAGGATAGCTGGTCCAATCCGGAAATATTTCATGGTTATGCTCTTTGACAAAAGTATGAATAACCCACCTTCCATCAGACCTTCTCTTTACATGCAAGCATGCCTTACAATCTGTTTTTGACCAAGACCTGTTTATTCTGCCTTTTTTTCTCTTCACAGGATTACTTCTTGCTGCATCAGCACTTGGAACAGGTTCTGCACCAGAAGTAGAAGGTTCACGCTTGCTTCCATATCTACTGCAAACAAATTTTGCATCAATAAATTTTCCAGAAATTCTGGATCGACGGCTAGCCTTTATTATTGAGGAAAATCCAATGGACTTAGCATATTCTTTGTAATATGAAAAGGCATTCTCTTTCGAGTCAAATTCCATACCATCATGAGGCTCCAAGTTCCTATAGCAATTCACAGCTAAAGAATCTGCGTTTGGCAGTACATTTGCACCATTAGATGATGTTCTTTCATTCCAACTAGTTCCTGCATTCTCTATTCCCAGGTAAACACTCTTAGAAGCAGTGACAGTAGCTCCATCTGTACCACAAAGTTCTCCTCTTGCACTTTCAATCCTTACACATGTATGCCGCCCACAGTTTTCTTTCTCGTGCTGATCGCCTGATGGCGGCACAAGGTCCATAACCATTGAGGTAAAATGTGTTCCCCCAATCCAAGTACTCAATTTTGTGCCTGAAACATGTCCGTTCTTATTTGGCCATCATTATGGCTACTAGAACAAAATTCTAGTCAAGTCATCCACAAATTATAAGTTTTCGTTTCTATTTGAGATAGAAAAAATTAATCCAATAAATACAGTCTCCTGAAACATATAGATCGTATCTTGTAAATTTGAAATTCTTTCTTTTATACTCATTAATGACCAACAATTGGATTTTTTAATTAAATAATGAGAACTAGCATTGTCAAAGCACAATCACAGAATTCCTTTCTATATAACATGTCACAGAAGCACATCACGTCTCTTCAAAAATATACAGAGAGGATTTTGTTATAGCTCCATATTGTTCATACTTGCTAGGCATTATTAAGTACTAATCTCTAGCACTAATTTTTTTTACCAAAAGACTCTGTGAGTTTGTCAACATAATTTTTAACTCATACTCCCTCCATCCCAATTTAAGTGTCTAAGATTGACTGGGCACGAAGATTAAGAAAAAGGTGATTTTCGAATCTTGTGGTCATAATTTAAAAATGTTTGTAGTTCTCTAAATCTTGTGGTCTTAAACTTGACACTTACGATGTTGAAATTGAAAAACTTACTAAATATAGAAATAAACATTCTTTTTGAAACAAATTAAAAAGGAAAGTACGACACTTAAATTGGTTCGGATGGAGTAATATATATTTCTTCGAAAGATATTTTCATCTCACCAACTAAACAACAAAGAAAACATTTTTCCTTTAAAAAAATGACTTCATCATACCAAACATAACTTAACTCTCAATTTCAAACTTTCCAAATTGACATATCATAGATAACTACAAAAATCACCTATAACACAACATTCTCATATTCACACACATATATCAATTTATCAAGCACTTGAACATGTAAATGTAGAAATAAAAAATAGCCAAAATTGAGAAAACTTTTCATATGAAAAAAAATAAAATACTCTACAAAGTTTGCATGTACAAATATATGTAAGGAAAAAGAGGAATTTACAGTGGCAGTAGAGAATTCTGATGATCACAGCAACTGAAAATTTGGGGGCGAGTATAGAGAGTATAGGTTTTGCCTGAAAATTCAAACAATTAGGGCTCCAAATTGGTGAATTGTACTCGCATTTTCTTCTTCCCATACTCGCGGTTCGTTTGGGCAAAAATTCCTCCGCATTTCGACCCGATGGGCCTACTCATGCAGTTTAGGCCCAAATTCACAGATCACAATTTGAGCCAAGAATTTGACAGGGTGTATCTTTTTCATTTTTTTGTGTCTTTAATGACAAAGCAAATGAATTGATATAAGTTCAACTATATTACATTACTACCCGCGAGGATTGTGGTGCAGCGGTAAATATTTCTTTATTCTTAATTATAGGTCTTGGGTTCAAATCCCTCTGGGTACACGTGTACAAATATATATGTTATTTATATAATTATATACTTTGGTATGATATTCGATATTTCGATATGTTATTTCTAAATATCAAATACCGTATCAAATATCAAAAAAATTAAAATATATATCATAGTACTAAAATCACGATATTAAAAATGTAGAACTAAGGGGGCAATTTAAAATAAACCTCGAACTCACAAGATTAATTAATTAAAATTTGTCCTGTTCCCTTATTTTTAATTTTATTTTCATTCTTATTGTATTGTTTGTGCAGTCTACAGATATCACGTTGTAGCACATGAGAGGAGGAGGATCCATCACTAGTGGACTATATATTTATCAGTCAAAAGAGTTACCTTTCGGTCAAAGCTTTTTGGGAATAAGATAATAAAAAATAAAAAATAAAAAATAAAAAAATTAAACAATTAATCTGAATATTTACCACAATACAAACATACCTTTTCATTCACGTTGACATGTATTTATTTATTATTTATTCCAAGGAACTGATCAATATATGATTATTTTCCCAAAGGAAAAGAAAAAAAGTTAAGTGACTAAATACCTCAAAATCTCTTCGGATTAAACTAGACATAAATTATTAGTTAGGTACTTAAACAAGCTAAACTTAGTCAGTCTCCCGAGCTTGACGTCTTTACCTTTATTAACGCTAACATGACAAAGAGTGTGAATATCCTCTATTTTTGACAAGTGGAAGTTAGTAAGAAAAAAGAAAATGAAAAATCAACTTACAGATCTGAATTAATTAGACCTCAAACATAACATTATTAACCCTTTTTTAAAAGAAATAATCATTCAGTGTTCAATGTTTACATTAAAGCATTGACTAAATCTAGATCGTGCACTACGGGATCCTTTAGGGGCTAGTGCTCCCAACAAAATTTTCTTCATAAGAGTAGAACAGTCTCAACATTACACTAACTTATATTGGTTATCAACCTCTTTATTCACACACAAATTAAGAAAGAGGAAAGAACAATAATTAATCCTATAATTCATATCCATGTGGAGGTTAATTTATTTTGGGAAAGCACCTATCTGTGAACTCCATGTGATGCCTCATAAGACACAGTTTCAAAACAGTCATCTTCAAGGCATTGACTTACGTTAATTTCTGTCTTCTTCAGACATTACAAGATATTCTCAGAGATATGCTACGTCCTATCTTGAAACTATTCAAAATGTTTTGACAACTTGGTATATATATATATATATATATATATATATATATATATATATATATATATACAATTATTAACTAGAACTAGCTAGCTAGGGTTAATATTTAAAAAAAACTTCCCTAGTGTTAGGGGTGTCCATTACATAAACGTACTCATTAACTTGATCTTAACTAATATTTATATTCACTAACTTTGCGTCTGCACAAATGACCCTTAAGCGATACAATTGAATATGTAGACACATGCGTTCTATGTGACAATATTCTACATGGAAATTTGTATTCTACATATGTATTATGTCATGTGGAACACGTGTCTGTTTGTTCAACTTTATACAAGTTTAAATACATACTTGTACATATCCATAATTGGAGGACATAAATGTCAGTTAAAGCAAAGTTAAAACGCATATTTATGTATTATGTCCTTTAAGAAGATCAAAAGACTTTTGATTCTTGTTGTCTTAAATTAAAGATACATGGAATGTACTAAATACCCTTTAATTTTGTGGTGTTAAATAAATATATATATATATCATATGGAAAGTTTGAATTAAAGAGTTGTTAAAAAAATAATTTGAGAGATATGTTTTTAAAAATGGACAAAAATAAAAGTATGATAAATAAATGGAAAACGGATAGTAATAAGGATTACAATAGCCTAGCTCCTTTTTTGTTTAATTACAAAACTCTATCTGAAATTACACAAACATGCAAGTGTCACATAATTCCAATTATTTCTGTTAACCTTCTTATTTCAAATTTGGACTTTTTTGTGATCAAGCTTAAAAAAATTCTCCTTGTTTAAAAAATAATGTACATTAATTTTCAGCAAATAATAATTTGTTATTTCTGAAGAAATTAAATAAGAGTGGACTGCCAATAAAAAAAGAATCAAGATCTCTTAGGATTCCATTTTAAGAATCTTTTTTTATGTTTTTAATTAGACTGCCTATGCCTATGATTGACCTCTATAATGACTGACAAATCATATATCGTTTAATTTAGCTCTTTTTGACAGAAATTATACTGATCGAATATTAATAAATTAACAATATTAAAATTTTATTGACTCATCTTTTATCCTTTTATGATGATATTATTATATTCGAATGGTGACAGTTTGGAGATGTGTGATTAGCAAGTGGAAACTATTTAATTTCTTTTTTGCAATTGAATTTTTAGTTTAATAATTATTAAAACGCTCTCAAACAAATGCAATTGAGATTCAAATCCGAAATATCTAACTAAAGATGAAAGATTACTTATCATTCACTCAATTACGATCCTTATTGAATATTATAATTATGTTATTGCTTGTTATTAATGTTTCCATTTTATCTTTTTTTTAAGTTGAGTGTCTATTGAAAATAATTTTCTACTATATATTATAAGGCTGTAAAAAAAAAACATCAGCTCTCAGTAGTCAAATAATTACTGTATTTTACTGACAAAGAAACAGTATTTGCTAGTACAATAATACTCATCGTATTACACAATTTGGTTCCTATCTTTTTTATTTTCTTTTTAGCTTCAGGACAATGAAGAGGATATGATAAATCAAACCACTTTTGTGGTTATCTCCACTTGCTAATTATTAAATCATTTTTATTATCAGATATTACAAGTTTATAAATTGAATTATATTTATATGAAAGTAAAAAAATGAAAACGAGAAGCCGGGTAGATAGTCAAAGTGAAGTTCAAATTAACCTCTAATTAGTCAACTTGATTTAGATTGAATGACGATATTAAAAGAGATATGATTAAGAACAAAATTATTTAGAATAAAATGAGCGTGATTAACCTTTATGGTGAATGAGATGAAAAAATGAAACTGGGATAATTCAATTTGGATCCTCGACTACTTAAATAATATACTATAGTATAAAAAAAACTCAAATTCCTAACAGAAATTTCAAACGGTCAAATAACAATAAACAATCCCTTACTCCCAACTGGCATTAATTAATTAAACAAAGAACCAAAGTACAGCTTATTAACTGTTTTCTTTTTCTTTTTTGGAAAAAATAATCTAACTCGAATAAATATGAACATGAGACTCTTGTGGTAAAAAAAAATGTTTTACCAAAGAGGAAAAAGCCAACAATCATGTGAATACAATAAAAATATGTTTGGCTCAGCATGCAGCCTTTTACTTTTCATCTTTTACTCTTCACCAACGTGGATGTGAGTGGACACCAATCGATCTCATCTGCTCAGATCAGTCAGACCCCCCCACCCCACTCATAAGCAGAGCTAGATGGGGTTTGCGAGTATGGATGAACTCAGTAATTTTTCGTAAACGATATATTCGTATTAAGAAACTAAATAATATATATATAACTTGTAAACTCCCAACAATGCTGATGGACACAACTCGGTAGTAAAGAAGGAGTCGTGAAAATGTTTTACATGCTAGAGTTGTGGGTTTGAATAATCCCACTATCCTAAAATTTAAAACCTTAATTCTTAATCCTAACTTCGCCTCTAAGTCTCCACTCCCCACCAGGGGCGAACCCACGTGGGTTTCAGGGAGTTCAAATTACACGGTATATATAAGACAAATTTTCTGTAATTTTGTAGATATATATATTTTGAACTCCCTCAATAACAAGGAGAGACTGATGGCGCAACAGCAAGTCCCCCAAAAATTAAGCTTCATGTTACCAATTCGAATCCATGTGATAGCATTTTATTTTTATTTTTTTAATCTTCAGCTATGTTTTTCAATTTTTTTAGTTTTTATTTTATTTTAAAAAACGTACTAAACGTGTGGCTTTAAACCCAAAAGAATTCAAGAATCCCATTTCTAAAGACTTATTTACACGTTTATATTTTTATTTTTCGAATTTCCTGAACAAAAATCCCGAGTCCGCCACTGCTCCCCACCCATTCACCCACAAGTGGCGAGCATGCAAAAAAACTTCTCTAAATATACATGCCTAATAATTAACGTTTAATCTATATAAACCATATAATATTTCAATGAAGAGTGTATCACACCATCCTTCGCCTAAGGTGATTCTGCCCATTACCTCACCCCCACCACTAACGCCACTTGAAATTATGCTTTATTGTTTACATTCACATTATTATTATTTTTTATTTTAAAAATAAAGGTTTACAAATAAAACTAGTGTGGTTTTGTCAGTTATATAACTTTAGTTTTTAATTATATTTTCTTTAAAACTGTTAAGTATTCCTTAATCATTAGGATTCTCGTTACCAACTATGGTTTGGATGCATGAACTGTTCTTTCTCACCCTCCATATTCGTCGCTTAGTTAATAATCAGTAATTAAGTGACAAAACTTTAGGTGCAAATACATATCATGATCACTTGTTAGTTGTTATGTTATTCATAAAGTTTTATCATATTTTAATAATCTTTTCTTGATTATATTATCTTGCTTTTGTTTGATTAAACTATTCTGAATAAAAATAGAATTTATCCAAAAATAACCTCTTAATTTCCAAAAGGACGGATAAAGTCTTGTTGTTGAATAACGTTTTCTTGATGATATGACAATGTCATTAAATATATTTTTCTCCAAGTTACTCAAAATAGGTTCAGATTATAAATTTAAAATCTAATAACTTTAAAAACTAAAATCTCAAATTCATAAACTTTAAATTTTGTCTGCGCCTCTACATATAATTAATATTTGTATCGATAATGCCCACAGATTAGTCCGGATATTACTGTATTAAAGTAAAGTAATCTAGTGACTGATACTTTGAACTAAACTTCTCTCTTTTTATTTACACATACAGTGAACTTTTCTCTCTTTTTTGTTAATTTTAAACTCTTTCCAATCTCATCCTAACACTTGTCTTTACACTATATATTATAATATTAATGATGCATAGTACCAAACGTAATATTAAAAATACATTATACTAAGATTTAAATTATCATCGAGACTATCAACTACTATCTCCAACGAACCCTCATATCTTTATAAATTCAAAACCTAGGTAGGCCATTTTCTTTCATCTCTCTCAAATTAACCAAAAGTTGTCTCACTCACTTAGGTTATTCATTAATATAAGTAAAATGACACAAATGCAAGATCGTCAATGGTACTTGCCAAGATCGTCAATTACCACCAACACCATCACCAACACCACGACGCGAAGTTTTAGTACATCATCAACATCATGTTGTGGGCTAACAAGATTGTTGAGGAAGTTGAAGAGATGTAGTAATAAGATGTTGAAAACGAGTAGTACTACGTATAGTACTAGTCGTCAATCGTCGTTCCAATGTCGGTACGATCCACTTAGTTATGCGTTGAACTTTGATCATGTCTCTGATGATGAAGATTATTACAAGTTTTGTGCTTTTTCATCTAGATTTGTTGCTACCACTAAACCTCATGATTATCATTCTCAAACTTTGATTAATTAGTGGTCTTCCCACTAATTAATTAAGCTAGAAAAAAGGAAATTAAGTAAAAATATATGTGTATGATCATTTTCTTCTTAATTTTCATGATTATTAGTAGTTGGATGAAAATCATCTTGTATACGGTTTATTGATCGAGGATAACAAATCCCATGTTTTGGAGAAACAACTAAAACAAAATGGTAATTTGTTTCTTTTTATATGATTCTCTATTTCAATTTATGTGATAATATTTAACTGAATATAGAGTTTAAGAATAACAGAACCAGATCAATAACACAATGTAACCTAGCTAGTTAGTTGTCATTGATGTAAGAGAAGAATATTATATCATAAAGTTTCACGTTCAAATCTCAGCATATATTAACAAATGATATTACGTGATTTCTTCTTGTCTGTGTATTCTTGGTGAAAAGAGTTATTTGATAGTACTTGTGTTGATGGAGAGTAACATGTACTCGATGGAATATATAATCAAGATGCACATAAGTTGGCTCGAACACTAGCGATATGATTTATTCTTTTTCGGAAAAGAATTATTGTCTAAAACAAAGAAAGTCATAAAGATGCAGCGTGTAGCTATAAATGATCTCATTAAGCGTAAAACACGAGAAATTTAAAGTTACTTAATCACTACTTAGGTAAATAAGAAATCTCTTCATTAAACCAAAAACGATAAAAACAATGGCTAAGCAAAACTCAATTTGCTCATGACCTAGAAAATATAGCTAGGTAAAAAAAAAAATACTAATAGCGTCTGTATAAGATATTAAACCTAAAATGTAACAGTTTTTGTGCTGATGAGTGCACTGTCAATTACGGTTCGAATGTTTAAATGAAAGTTGACAAATAAATATGGGTAAAAGCTTGCCTTCTCTTCACTTTTTTAGACGTAAAAATTATATTTTCTGCATTTTTTAAATTTATTATTCTGTCTTGGAGCGTGAGGGATGGGGGGTGGCTACAAATATTTATAAAAAGTATGCATGTCGGTTTGTACAAATTTGTGTGTCACAAAGAAAATGTTTGGTGAGCATGTGGCAGTACCATGTGCTACCATTTCGAGCATGATGTATAAAATTATTGTAAATTTTGTTAATGTACTATGTTTCTAAAGTCAAAATTAATCCGTGACCACTTGATGTTTGGAGTCCGCATTCGAGAATAATGCTTCCAATAGGATTTTTTCCCAAGTCTTGAAATCGAAATCTTTGATTAAGGATGAAACAGTTTCACCACCGCACCACAACTCATGTTGGTTATGCTCAAATATCTCATTAATTAAAGGATCAATGAGTTGTTTCTTCTTTCTTAGGAGATGGAGAAGAGGGGGTGCATTTTTTCAATTTCATTCCTTCTGTATAGTAAGCTTTTGAAGGGTAAAATGAAGAATTTTTTTTGGGTAAAAGTCAGCCTTTTTAAAAAATGATTTGACAAATTTAAATTGTTGCAAGTATGAAAACGATACAAGGTATGACAATAGTTTAAAATTAGGAAGTTTCAAAAGTTTTGAAAATAGTATAAAGTTCAAGGTTTAAAAATATCAAAGTAGAAGAAAATGTCCAAGTTTTCAAAACTCTTGAAGGGTGAAACGTATGAGGGAATATCGAAATATTAATTTGCAAAATATCAAGTAAAATAATACTCCATTTTTACTCATAAATCTTCAACTTCCCCAAATTTACTCATAAATCTTCAACTTCCCCAAACCCTCTTTTCCATCATGTAAAGTTCATGTACAATTACCAGAGTTTATCGAAAACAATTTCTCTCTATCTTTATAAGATAAGGTAAGGCTCTGTAGGATTGCACTGGATATATTGTTGTTGTTAAACCCGTGTACAACAAACACTTTCAACTTCTAAATACCTTATTTCAACTTCAAATACATTTTGTCCAAAAATTTATGTCACAAGAAAAGCTCACATCCTTCAGTAAGGTTATTCACTTCAATATTTGCTCTTAGCCGTATATACACTGAAATCCTAAAAAATAATTTTGTGCCTAAAATTACCTTTCCACTATATAAGCAAATATAGCCACAACATATCCACCTTCAAAATCAACAGCGATAAAGATAAGAGAATTGCATGAAACGCAACAACCTACCCAGTGTAGTTTCCTTTAGAGAGGGTAGGTGTACGTATACCTTACCCCTACATGCTACCTCAAAGTAGAGGTTGTTTCCGATAGACCCTCTGCTCAAGAAAACAGTTCAAAGCAGTCTAAGAAATGGAAGTACAATAAACAACATATAATAACAGAACATTACTGCAAAGTACATAAAATACATACAAGCAAAGTTTTGCTTACATGAACCACAAGTTTGACACTTAGGAAGTCCTAAATGCAATGCTGAACTCAGCTACTAAACAAGTCCTACAAGGTCAAAGCCTTCGACTCTAAGGACGACGAACAACATTATATGCTAACTTCTATGTTTTTCTTTCCTCTTACACAAGCTTTACATAGTAACTTGTCTAACCTGTACTGTATTTGCTACTTTAACTGCATCCTGCCCTACAAAAACTGAGAATAATGGAGGGTCAGAGGCTTTAGTTACACGTCAAGAGATGATTATGATTACAACAATTAGCTCCCCATAGGAAAGAGCTATGGTTCATGGTCATCCTCCTGATGATCAGAGACTGTCCCTTCAGATGATATTTCTTCTACATCTTCCTGTCTGGGTCGAGCAGAATCTGACTGTGTTTTGCTAGAATCCCTGCAATTAGTTTCAACTTTTTTCTCTGCCTGGAATGGACCCAATGTACTAGGAGCTGAGGTCTGATCTGTTTCCTGCTTTTCATGTGAATCTTGGGTGTCTGAAGAAGCAACCTGATCAACGGATTTGGGGAGAGGGATCATATTTCCAAGGAAACTTGAACTAGTAGCAATAGGTGGACCTGGTGAAACACAGGATGCAACCAATCGAAGCACTTCAGGTGAAGGAGACAATCCAGAGCTTGTCTTCATTAGAGGAAATGTACTAGTTGAAGGATTCACAGTCACACTTGGAGGAGGCATATTAAGGTTAGCTTCATTCGAAGGAAGTCCTGAAGTTCTGGCCATCACTCTAGAAAGCAGAGGGAATGCTGGATCCTGCAGACTACTTGTTCCAGCCATACTCTCACCATGTACGCTACTACCCTGTACATCAATAGTTCCTGCAAAATCTATTGGGAACTGCCTCATTACTTGCAATCCATGTTTCTTCTTCTTCTTCTTCTTTTTCAAGCTCAACCGTGGGTCCCTGGGTTGAGATGGAGGGGGAGAAGGAATAACAAATGGAGGGATGGAGGGATTCTCCTCCCCATATAGCATGCGAACTGATTGAGCAATTGCAGAGACAGTAGGTGGTAAATCAGGTTCAGGGAGTTTTGCTGGAATATTCACTGCTTCACGAAGCCAATGTGGTAGCTTATTCTTCAGTGAACCACACTCAACCACTTCCTTGCCCTTTGATTGAGAAACTTTCTGACCTTTATCAAGTACAGGAAGTGATGGATAATTGCTAGATTCACCACCTCCCACATTGTTATGTGAATCATGTGAGATATTTAAAGACCTGTCAAGAAGGCTAGGCAAATTAACAAATCTGCTTGCACCATCATCATTCTCCTTTTGCAAGGCAAACCTGTTCTGGCAACCCAAGCCAAGAGGACCCAAGCTACTGCTTCCCGACGAATTCAGCAGAAATGGTGACTCCGTAACAAAACTTGACGGAGCTCCTAGTCTATCCGATGGTCCCGCATTCAAATCTCGAGGAATGTTCACCCGGTACTTGTCAGCACTGGGAGTTGGAAGATGTGAGATATGTTTGCTGTTCAGACCAAGTCTCTCAGGAGGTTCCAAATGTGGAAAGCTGGAAGGCAGATCATGAAACCCTAGTTTCATGTCTGTTAGGTGGGTTGGTAAAAACTGTTCATTTAGTTTACAACCATGCAATGCTCGAGCCATCATTCCATCGGAAATGCCTGAGAATAAGCCTGATTTTCCCACTTTGGTAGGCTTGGATGGTTTTGGCGCAGGTAATGCTGGTCCATCCATGATCTTGAGCTGCTCTTCTTCCCACCTAATTGATAAATCCTCAGGAATTCTATACTTGGAAAATTTTAACTTTGTATCTCGCAGCATGGCATCCCAATTGCCCCTTCCATGTCTACGTACACCAATCCAGAGACAATCCAGTTCATCTTCAGACCAGACATCCAGTTTGTTTCTCCTTTTAAGTAGGTTGCCTGATCCTAACCCAGTTCTCAGCATAATGTTTTCAAGAACCTTCCAATGGTTTTCAGGAAATGATGATGATGAAGGTGCCATATGCCCCAACCCCTGTACAGGAGGCATCTCTTGTTCCTGCAGGTTAAACCTAGGTGCATCGTGAGGTGGAAATTTGAGATTGGGCAAAAAAGGCAATACAGGGTGCTCACGAACAGACCCATTCACATCTCTTGATCCCAAAGACAAGTTGGGAAACAAGGCAGAGGGTGGACGTGGCATGTTCATAGCAGGAAATGGGTATCTTGGTAACAATGGCTTATCAAAAGGTTTGGGCAAAACTGTCCTGTCTTGAATATCATATGAAGTAGCACACGAATTCTGTAAGTTACCAGCAGAACCTCTTTCTCGCATGACAGGTCGAGGATGCTGCAGAAAAGGCAACATTAGGAATTCACATAAGCATTACATTTAAAATGCAAGAAAACACGTTACTCTCCCTGTCCCAATTTATGTGACAAATTTTCCTTTTTAGTGACTTGTTTTATACTACCAACTTTCAAAAGTCTTTCTATCTTTACTTAAATTTCGTGCCAAGTCAAACAACATCACATAAATTGGGACAGAGGGAGTATAACAGAGAGAGAGAGAGAGAGAGAGAGGAGAAAGACAGCATACTGGATTGAATGGGAGATAAGAATCAGGTAAGCTATTCTTTGGAGGCTGTTGTGAAGGGTCCAGGGGAAGATCTGGCAATCTAAATCTCTGTGGGAAACCTTTAGCAACCATTTCAGTTGAAAGCTCAGGAGGAGGAGCAATAGTTGGGAACTCCAGTCCTAATCCATGCCTGTGTTGTCGAACGTTTGACCTCAACAAGTTCCTCTGGGGTGCCTCCACCTGATGGGCATTAGGAGCACATAGTCCCAGAATTGGTAAAAGCTGTTTATCCACGGATTTAATATAGCTCATATCTTGTGCATGATTACTTGACTGGGGAATATCTGCATGAGGATGGCCTCCTGATGGAAGATCTATGTTATCGTTCACTTTATGTTTCAGTTTTCCCAACCTTAAGGTTGAGTCTCCCATGTTTTTCTGTGTCTCGGATGATTTAAGACGGCTATTGTTTTCCAAGTTCATGGCCACGTGTTTCTCTTCACGGTGTTGTGATGGTACATTCATCAAATTCACATAATGAGCTTGTGGAGGAAGGAGGTGACAGAGAAACTCTCGTCCAGCTTGTTCTTCCATGGGTCCAGATGCTTCAATTGCATTTCTACGGGCTAGCCGTTCTTTCTGTTTAGTGCGAAGCTTAGCACTGCACCAAAAAGATATTCAGATAAGTATTATCTTTCGAAGTTCATAATTTACAGATATAGCCAAGTTATTCAAACAATCCAGCCAAAATGATACAAAAATTCCAGTATCATGCATTCTACTCTTTTTTTCCCGCCATAAAGCAAATGTTATAAGATGAACCATCTCAATTCACTAAAGCAAATATGTTATCACTTAGACTTAGATGCTGATAAAAGCCAAAAGAGTATGACTCACTATTTTTCCTTTAATGCTCGTCCAGCTTGACTATACTCTCGCTCTGGTTCAGGCACAGGCACAGGCTCCCCTTCCACAGCATTCTACAGTGTCAATCAATGGCCAAAATTAGTGATCTTAAACTATGTCCTAATTAGGAAACCAGAGTGACTGCCTCCTACGAAACAATCATCCATGTCAAATTCATTGGCTTCAAACCAACTAACATTATGCTTGTGGAATCACAATATTGTAGTTGAAATCAAAATTTTAAAGATTTAAAACACTGATCCCAAAAAATTGAGGGGAGGGTTGAAGAATTTATCAAAGAATAAAAAAAGAGGGAGGGGTGTAGAAATATAAATTACAATACGGAAGTACCTCTGTTAATGTTTCATTGGGGTGTGAAGCATATGCTTCCCTGTAAGAAATGGCTTTCCTTAGGCGCTTGCCTCGACCTAGCGCTGCTTCCTCCTCGCTTTGATACTTCTCCCATCTACGAGCACGAGAACACCATGAAAGGAGGCAAAAGCCATAATGAAGGTATACCACCTCAAATGAAATCATTTATCATAGTTTTGAAAACTGTGCATTCTTAAGTATGTAAGATTGGCTCTTCATTTAGTTCACCAATCAATCAAGCGACTCCTGGGCATGAATCAGCCGGACAGGCATCAAAAGCAGCAATCATGTTACTGAGATTTTTGTGAAATTCACATATTTATTTTTCATTTCTTTGAGCCCAACATCTGTTATAAAAGGACCACCACTACCATCTTTCAAGTGCTGAGAACACTGCAAAGCTTTCTAGTACCCATGTCAAGCATATAAACAAAATATTAAATAAACTAAGACGGCGAAATCCTAATACTTCTTTCTGTGCTTTGCTTATCGTTTTCTCTCTCTCTCCAAGAAGAATCATTGGCAGAAAAAAAAAAGGAAAGAGACCTCCAGGAGCAAGTGAAACCCTATTTAACTTGAAACTATCTCTGAATGTATAGAGAATGATTGTAAAAACTTTACCCCTACACCACTAAAACATCCATTGTATCAAATACAAACACTTGTTCATCTTCTACATTGTCTACCAGAAGCCAGTATGAGTGAATCGTACAAGAGTTGAATCCCGTACTTGTATTGTGACTGGGTGTGTCTCCACTGTTTCAAATCAGTATTATCTTACAATTGAACATGTGAAGTGAATAAAACTGGGAGTGTTGGTGGAAACGGTTGACCTTCCTAAAAAGGACTGAGTTTTGGGAACAGGAAAAATATATAGCAACATCAGAAGAAGTCTTTGAAACTGTTATCTTTTTTTCTTCTTAATCTGTTAATGTAGTAATTACTAATTAAAGAAGTCGAAGAGCTTCCCTTCGTTACTGGTAAAAACAGTTTGCTCATCGAAATTTTTTTGCAAGAATATACTAATTGATTGTGGCTGACAAAGAAGATAGCAGCCATCTCTTTGTGTACTGTGAAGCAACTGCACGATTGTCACAGCTATTTATGGCTCTGGTGAAGTAGGTGATGCCCAGGACTATTATTGATATTTTGTGATGCTGGAACAATGGAGGTGCTGATTTAAGGTATAAGAGATAGTGAAGGGCTATACCAACATGCATATGGTGGACAGTATGGAGAGAAAGGAATGTTGTGTGTTTTGAAGACGAACACAATTCATTGTAGAAGATTAAGCTGGAATGTATCGTCTTGTACAGAATTATTTGTAGATGAAACCGAACAATTACTACAGTTTTTAGAGTTCTTGTAAGCAGAAAAGGACAGCCTGAACTTAGTGGTCTTTTTATTAAATTGGCTACCAGCAAAGCCTTTGTGCTGCCGAGTGATGAATGTACTCCTTTTCCACAAAAAGAAAATATACTTAATTCCAAGAATATATACTGACAAACTATTCGATGTACAGTGAATGTTGGTTCTGCTCTACTAGACTTTTTGCTCATTGTTACTTAATGCAAAGAAAACATATAATGTCAAGCCCTGGTAAGGTTCTTTGCTTTGCATCGAATTAAACCACATGCTCCACCACTATAAATATAACAACTACTACTACACCTCAAACAAGTCAGAAACTGCCTATGTCACTCCATTTATACCCATCTCAGACTAATATTATAGAAGACACATTCTCAGGAGAAAAATCTCTTAACAAGAATGAAAGACTCCTAGCAAGTGTTGGACCTAAAGTAAATCAACTAACATGTCAAAAAAGCAATCTCAACTAATTGGTACTGCCTATATAAATCTTTCCTTACATTCTGCCCTCCTTTTCGCTAGGTTTGCATGGATTCTAAGAAATTGTAGGTCTTGCTAAACAACTTCCTAAACAGAATAGAAAATGAAGCTAAGAAATAGTCTTATCAATCCTTCAAGAAATTCATATGCTACCTATATTACACCTTTATTTGTCTTGATGTACCCATATTGAACAGGTGTGAAATTGGAATACGTCGTGCATATTCTTCAAAATACAGAAAAAAACTTCACCATAGCATTGATACTTGCACACACCCGCATTGATTATATATGCATAGCTAAGCCCACATAATATGGTATACCATCAAACAAATATAAGTAAGGTTGCCAGAACAATACCTCACTCTTAGAAGCTTGTCCCACTCATTTTCTTCACTGCTACTAGCCAAGTTATCCTCTTTCTTCTCAACATTTTGTACACAAGTATCTTCACTTACCACCATATCTGATGCTATTCCAGCTTGCTCTTCTGCACCATCCTCATTCCATTCCAATGACTAGCAAGGAAAACACAACAGGTACAAAACAAGATCAGCAAGACATTAAAATGATCTTATAATGATTGTTGTTCCTAAGATCTTGCATACAAGTTGCCAAAGAAACAAAAACTCCTTCCTTATTGAGTCAGAGAGCAGAATAAATACCGTAGAATTCTTTTTAAAAATAGCATCTTATGTTAAAGACAAATAGAATCATAACTCTGTAACTACAAGTTGAAGACAAGCAAGAGTGTCCATGAAAAGTGAAAAGCTTTAGATTCACGAAAATAGACCACCAATAAAAATCTCAACTTAAAAAGACGCAGAACCATAATAAACAGAAAGTGGAAGATTCATCATTTTCACAGACACTTTGCTAAGAGTGCATGGACAGTCATTACATGCCATACCAGACAAAAAATCAACTATGTCACACTAAAGATTCAGCACAAGTCATAAGAAACTGTTCATTATGTGCAGAGCATAATTAGAACAATTAAAGTGATTCTACTTTTTGAGCATGTAAATTTATCCAGTGAAAAGTTCACAGCATGCCATTCAAATCCAAACAAACTTGTAATGTTAACACCGCTAAAACATATACCACTCCAGTAGCTTTATCTTTTACTTGGAATCGATCTGACAAAATTTATTTGCTATAGCAGCCTTCATCTTCAAGAATATACAGAACAATAAAGAAACTTTAAGCTTGATAAGGGATGTAGAAAGAGTTCGGAAACACAGTTACTTTAGGGGGACTTAAGTTACAATAAATTCAGCATATTCTCCCTAGTAGGTTGAATCAGAGAAAACTTCTGAAGGAGCATTAGAAGAACTCAACAAGGCATAATGCCATAAGAACACTAACTCCAACATTTCTCCACGCCATACAAAAGGAGAGCTACGCTCACGACAAATACATAGCCTGTTTCAGAGATGGCAAATTATCAGTTGGAAGTTCCCAGAGAAATCTTCTACTTGCGATTGGTATGAAAGTTATAGTTCGGATTAACTTGATGTTGTTAAATTTTAGTAGCCAACTGTAGTTCAGTCATTTATTAGCTTTCCAGCAATGACAGCACAATATCTGGTTTAAGGTCGTTATATAAACGATGTAACATTTTCCTTGTGTATTTCAATTACTTATATTGGAAACCAAGAACTAGTTTCCTTAGTTGAAAACTTAAGTCCCCCAAGTAAAATACAGTTACGTTGAATCTTCACCAAATTGATGATATGAGGATTGTGCTATGACGTTTATGTTTTTTCACTTTCTCAACTCTGCTTCAACTATACCTAATTCCAGCTTCTTCTTTTTTTGTTAGGTTCAATTTCTGCTGCTGTTACAGTGATGAAAGAAAGTATTAGGCTATATTTCATTAACCCCCCTACCCCACCCCCACCACCTCAAATTATGATCTTGGACCCTCACACTTGCTGATATGAATTTTAATTGGAGAAACATGGTTAGTAAGGAATTATATAGCCAACCCCAACATGTTTAATGATGCCTAGTTCTTGGATCCTCACACTTGCTCAGTTACTTCACAACTTCCAACTGTCCTTAGGTGCTCACTATCTATCGTCACAGTTTGAGCTACAAATCAGACCCTAATTTGTCAGTCTTCCATTTCAGAATAATAGAGTTGAAAAACCATCCACTTCTACAAATCACTTTTAAGAAATTTATGTCAATAAAGCAGATCTTTGGAAGAGCTGAGGTTACCTTCACTGAGCCAAGCATATCATTCTCCAGTTCTGCTTCATTGTTATCAGGTGATTCTGACTGAAGATTTGAACGGTCAAGCAATTTCAATATAGCATTTTCGTCCCACACAATCATAGTGCTTCCCTTGGTGCACTTGTCTTTATACACATCACCAAGGCTACCAGTCCTCTTGCGCTTATGCTCTACTTCAGGAACTGTCTCATCTTTATTGCTGGAGTTTTCAACAGCATCTTTCTCTGCCATGCTAGAGGAATCACTAAAAAGTTCTTCTGTTCCCCATCGAAGGATGTCCTCAACCTCCTTTTGGGACCCTGATTTGTTCACAAATAGCTGATCAAGCATCAACTTCCTCTTAGCAAGCTGAAGTATCCGTTCTTCAACACTGGCACGGACTACTAGCCGGTACACTAGAAGTCTCTTCGACTGTCCAATACGATGAGCCCGGTTCATTGCCTGTATATCTGCATGTGGATTGAAGTCAGAGTCATAGATAATAACAGTATCTGCAGTAGCCAAATTGATCCCCAGGCCACAAGAGCGTGTTGACAATAAGAAGACGAATCGGCTTTTGTCCTGATTAAACCGTGCTATTGCTGCTTGACGATCAGCCACAGCAACAGAGCCATCAACTCTCTCATATGTTTTTTGCCCAAATTCAATTGCCAAATAATCCTCCAGAATATCTAGAAGCTTAGTCATCTGTGAAAATATAAGGACTCTGTGACCTTCTTTATGCAAACTTTTGAGCATAGAGTGCAGAAGAGTCAGTTTACCAGAAGCCTTTATTCTCATTTCATGAAGAAATTCCACTGAACCAGATTCAGGCTCAGTTCCTGGTATAAGATAAGGATGGTTGCAAACTTTTCTTAACTGCATAACGATATTCAGCATTGATTGCTGTGCAATTCCTTTCCCGATGTTGCGAAGAAGCTGATAGTTCTTTGTAAGCATTGCACGGTAATATTCTGCCTGGATAGAAGATAACTCAACAGGAACCATTCGTTCAGTTTTAGGAGGAATATTTTGCATGGCATCTTTTTTCAGCCTGCGAAGCATATGCGGAGCGACAAGCTTTTTCAATTCTTCCACCTTTTCGGCTGTTGTAAGATCATTAAACTTCTCCTCAAATGACGATAGTGAAGGAAATGACGATGGCTGCAAAAAGTTTAATAAGTTGTACATCTCGCCAATGTTGTTCTGAAGAGGAGTACCAGTCAATAGAACTCGATGCTGGAAAGAAAATGTGTTGAGCATGCTAAAGAGTTTACTACTAGAATTCTTAAGACGGTGTCCCTCATCAACGACAAGAACTTCCCATGGGATCCCACGCAGATAAGTGGAATCAACGAGAACCATTTCATATGTAGTCAAAAGAACATTGAACTTGTATGAAGTAGACCTCTTATTCAGGTCACTTTGATTCCTTGAATGCCATTCAAATTGACGAATCACAGCTCTTGCTTTAGCAGTCCCATGGTATTCTACAACATTTAGGTGTGGAGCCCATAACTGAAACTCTGCCATCCAATTTGGCATTGTGGACAGAGGAACCAAAACTAGAGAAGGAAGTGCAGCATTGAACTCGGTATACAATGATGATAAGAAAGCAGAAGCTGATATTGTCTTCCCAAGTCCCATCTCGTCGGCAAGAATAACATTTTTGGATTTATGCCAGCACTTGCGCAACCAATTTAAGGCTTCCATTTGATGTGGAAATAATGAGCCTCCCAGTTCTTTAGGCTGCTCTGTCAGAGTAACTATATCATTTTTATGGCGTTCTTTCCTTTTTCTCACCATATCATCCTTGGTAGCATTTCTAGCTAATGCTTGGGATTCAAACTGATTAAACTGATCAATCAAATGAGATGATTTTGCAATCACAGGTTCCTCTATTTTTTCCCAGGTACATTCATCATAAGGAAGACCTGTCCATCTCACAAACACTTCATCTGAACCACTCGTGCCAGGCCGAGTTGCAATAATTCGCTGAGGCAGCTTCCACTGTTCATCACAAATATTTATTGTTGCTGTCCCATACTTTGCCTTGTAGTTGTCCAGCTTTCTTTTTGCCAGAATTTTCAATTGAGACTCTGGGATCCAAGAGTTGTGAATATTTGATTTGCCAACCCACTTAACAAGATATTCATAGACAACATTTACGTTGTTGGAGGTTGATGGTTTAGCCAAGACAGTCTCCTCACTTTTCTTGAAAGAGGTGGTATCTGTAGTAATCATTTCATCTTTTCCCTTGGCAGTTCCAACTTCATGAGTCCCAGATGTGACATCATCCTTCGACTTGGCTTTGTCATTATATTTCTTTTCAGTGGAATCATTGCTTTCTCCAGAAGTATTCTGCGTATTAGCCAGAGAATCATCAGCATTCACAGCAATGTCTTCTTCGTTGTTGTTGATTGCACCTTCAGATACTGAACCTTGAGAGTCTTCCTTTACTGTGCCAGTTCCTTCCTTGCATTCTATGCTACCTGATCTTCTGTACACATGCATTTCATCCTTGCTGGTATCATCCTTTGAGCTTTTTCCTTTATCGGGAATGTCCAAAGTTTCTTGAGAGCCACTGCCTGAATATTCTATACCAACCCTAACTACGGGCACATCACCGCTGGGTTTTCCATCATTTAATTCCTCTCTTGCTGAATCTATCAATGCTGGGTCATTTGCATTTATTCCAGGGATATCATGCAAACAACTAATATTATCATCTTGCACTCGACATGCCAGAACTCTATCAACCTGCAATTAAAGATGTGTCAAAAGTAGGAAAACAGATTATCATCAATCTCCTTGGTTTCGCTGCCCTTTTAAGGAGAGTTTCAGAAATTACATTAAAGAGTGATAAAGGAACAGATGATTCTTATTATTAAATGATAATAATAAACCTATAAGTTGGTCCTTGGAACTAGTACCTGTTGAAGACTGGGACCATTATTATCATATATTAAAGGTTCAACAACAACTTTTCCAGCTTCACGTGACAGATCTGATGGCTGAGCACCCTCTTCAGAAACCAACTGCATTAGCCCAAAAAAAGGAAATAAAATCAACAAAAGAAACAATCCTTAAGTTGGTTTTTGCATATTACAATATCAATTAAATTAAAAAGAAAAATAGACAGCTCAGAAAATTGTTGTTTCCCTTCCTTTTCTCTTTTTCTTTTTTGGCCTTTCCAATTTAGTTCCTAATTCATATAATTCCCACGCCCTTCAAACAAACTATTTTTTTACAAGCTAGAGTAAAGCTGTTTTTATACCAAAAATAGAACTACTAGTATTAAGCAGGAATTCAAAATGAAGTACAAAGCTTCATTTTTTCCCTCCTTGTTTAGAATAAGCACAAAGTTTTATTAAACTCAAATAGAAGCAAAACTGTACAACTGAAGAAATCAAGAACTGCTGCTGATAATTCCGTACGTATAGGGAGCTGAGATGCAGTAATTTTTCCATCAGGTTATTACTACTTCCTCTTTTGAAAAGGTTCTTTTTTCCAATATAGAAATTTGATCACATGCAAAAAGTGGACATGAACATTTACATCAAACAAACAACCCCAGAAGTAGCAAATATCTGTCACCGTGTAGAAGAAATAAATAAAGCAAAGAATTTCACACTTTAAAAAGAATCAGCTAATCCACAATATAGAGAAATCGTTTCTGATTTTCTAATTTAAGAAACGTGCCACATCATTGTATATACTAATGTCGACAAGCAACTTCTATTCTTTATTTGAAAGACTTCCCTTCCAGAAGAATAACATTAGACAATACTTCCTCATCTGTTGTACAGATATCAATCTTGAGTCCTCACAAAACATTATCCAAAATCTGGATGATCATCTTAGGAAGTCCCGAAGTAGAACGCCATTTCCTCCAAACAATGAACCCATCCATCACTCAGGAATTTTGGCCCCACACACTTTCTTACATGTTCAGAATCCCTTCATAGACTAGTCATCCTAAAAAGAGGAAAACTAATTTTGATTCTCAGTTCAAAGAGGAAAACCAAGAGGGGAAAATTTCAAAAAATTTCTTGTTACACAAATTGATCTTTTTTTTCTTGTCTCATCAAACCCAATTCTTGGAGTGTTGGTAAATTCGTTTTCTTTCTACATTTTTCCTCTAAAGGGTTGATCAGCCAAAGTAGTAATTCGAGTGGAAAAAGGTAAGAGAAAGAGATCTATAAAGAGGAGGGAAAATCCAAACTGAGAGATACCTGTTTCTTTTGTATTTTCTTGAGATATCTTGAAGAGGTAAAGAAACTGAACTTGGAACTTGAAACGACAACAACTTAGCTGACGTGCTCAGAATAATTATAGTCCGACTTGATGCAATAGATGCCACCATAGTTGAGTGAAGGAGGACAAACTGAATGAATGTACAACTTGACGAAGATGAGGAGGACCAAGGTAGAGTTATTTTTCAAATTAGAGTTAAAGTGATGTCTATGTTATGTACCATGATAATTGACAAAGAATCTGGCTATAAGTTAATTAGCACTTACATGGTTGAGAGATTGAGCTTATTTCACCCTATGTGCGCAAAGGAGTAAAGATAAATGAAAGGGTGTTATATTTTTAAAACTAAATGAAAGGGTGTTATTGTCGTTCAGTCTTGGAAGTTATGAGGATAAGGTTTGGTGTGATGGTGTTCTCATGTATAATTGTCATATTTTATTGGGAAAACCATGGTGTGCTAATAGTGGAGCATCATACAACATAGAAAAAAATAAATACTCTCTCAAGATGAATAGGGAGATATTTGTTCAAGCATCTTTGACTCCATATCAAAGCCATAAGGATACCAAGAAAATTAGAGAGAGGGTAGATGATGATGAGAGAGCAAAGATTGAGAGGAATACGGGAGTGCATGTTGGCATCCCAAGAGAGGAAAAAGGAGAGGTTGTGTTGTGTGAAGAGAATGGGATGTCAAGTGAGAAAAAGAGTGAGATCGAGATAAAAAAAAGAAGAGAGATGACTATGAGAGTAAAAGAAGAGGGGTGGTCGTGATGTAGAGAAAGAAAAACAAGTGAGCTTGAGTGAGGTTATTTCTTATTCTAACTTTAACATATTCCTACTTCTTTTACGGTTTTGACTCTTTTGTAGGTACTCATGGGAAAGTTTGCATTGGAGATCCATCATTGGGTGAACTTAATCTAAGGTTGGCGAAACTACATGTCCCACGTATCAAGTGCATGTTGATGAGAAGGATAAAGGTAAAGAGAATTATTTTGGGCAGGTCCAAGGTAAAACTCATGACAAGAAGTCCAACAAGGCAGTTGTAATCTAGCACCAATGAGCAAGGAAAAACGAGGTGATGTTATTCTTTTGCTACATCAGACCAGGTGTGGTATGTATAATTGGTTTATTCACCTTCTTGGTATTCCTACAACACCTAAAGTTTTCCTGGAGGTAATGAACTACAGTCTTATTTCTTATGTTAGTGACTTTATTAATTTTAGGGATGATGATATTTTTCTCTTGAATAAGTCATCAAATGTAATCTCTAAAATCTGAAGGTTCACAACCCACATCATTAACCACTAAGTCACACCCTTCGGGGTAGAAATGGCAAGTATTACATAAAGTAGGGTTAATTGAAATGGTAAGTGTTACATGAGTGGAATTAATTGAAAAGATATAGGGATAAAGGCTTTTGTTTTTACAAAGTTCAGAGCAATCCATTATTGAGTTAACCACCTTGAATACCTCTGCACCAATGCCTTACGCCATCATACCTTCCCTCTCAACGTTTTGACAATTATACCACAAATCTTATGGTTTTATTATGCAATTTTTCCTTATTTGAGCCAAACACAGAAAGCATCCTCCCAAGGCCTTCCTTATCCAAGAAGTTAATTCTTTTGAGCATGCACCCAAAGCAGATAGCTCCCATATCTGCCTCAGTTATAAAAAGCTGATGGCAGGCCCAGAACAGCACAATCAATAGCAAAGAACAAACACAAGCAGATTAATACTATCAATTAACTAGACAAGATGGTCAACATAATGGTTTGATCCCTCTATGGATATTAGCCTCCAGGCCCCACAATATTGAAGGCCTTATTACGTGACTACAGTCTCCTCTCCTGAAAGTAGGTTATCACAATATTTAAGCACTCATATCTTACCTAAAAAAAAAAAAAGGAGACAAAATAAACTGAGGACATCCCCACTATTGCATGCCTGTTTTGGGACATGAAGATTTAGATACTGAAATTAATACTCAAGCTAAATTCCTTTAAATATCTTTTTTCAATTTTAAATGAAAAGCATCTAAAAAATTTTAACACTAGACTAGATTCAGGAGAAATAAACTTTTGTAAAAAATTATATTACAATTTAAGACTCCATCTAATATTTAGAATTTTGCATTCGATTAACTAAATTTTGTCATAATTTTGATGGAATGTGATTTAAGAATCTATGTTCAGACTAATTTTTGGTTTTTTGATAGACGGGTATTTGCACCTTTAAAAAAACAAGGGCCCAAAAACTATTTTATTCCATTTAACAGATATACTTTTGTTAAAATATTATTTTAGCATTTAAAATTGTCTAATATTTAGAATTTTGAATTCAATTAATTAAATTTTACCATAATGTTGATGGAATGTGATTTAAGGATCTATGTTTGGACTAAATCTTTTTTTTTTTCTGATAGACGAGTATAATCCGTTTTGAGATATATCTACACTATAATAAAAAGAGAAATTTCTAACATGAAATGTTGATTTACTTTTCTACCTATTATTAAGTACATTTCATGTTGGATAAAATCATAACTATAATTAATTTGGTGATACAAAAATTCAGGATTTTGGATTTGAAAGTTGAGGACTGTCAAGCCTAACATCGGACTTAAAATTTCTGAAGATGGGATTGAATTTCTTTCTTTATTGAGTAAGCTAAATAGGATCGACAATCATCCTTTTCATATATTTACACATTATTCTTTAACTTTTATTACATAACTAAAAAATAATTTGTAAAATAATATTTGTGCATTTAAAAAAAAAAAGTCTACTCCATAGATAAGGTACACGTACGACATGCATGCAGTGAGACTGCTTAACGAAATTTTGTTCGCCCTTTTTCTCCTTTAAAATAGATTTCACATTGGATAGTCATTTACTTATTTTCCTCATATTTAGGACTTCTAAATCAACTAAAATTCTATTGATTATATCATTCCTTATTTTGACTCCACATAAAATAACTTTAAATTAATTTTAAAAATTCCTATTTTAAATTGAGGGTCTATCAAAAAAAGCCTCTCTACCTCCAAGGTAGGGGTACAGTTTGCGTACACTTTACCCTTCCCAAGATCCCACTATCTGGGATTACACATGGTATATTGTTGTTAATGTTGCACCTCTTCAATATCATGGTAAAAGATCTACCTGTAGAAATGTTTAGCTTGGAAGAACTCACTCAAGGCTAACTTATGTTTTCTTTCCCCAACCAACAGATTGAAATGTTTTATCACTAAAGAAAAATCAACACTAAAATCTATCGACCAAAACTGATGAAAAAGGTTTTGATCCATGTAATAGGTGTTTCATGTGCAACTTTGAAGTTGAGGATATTAGACATTTGTTCTTACGTTGCATTGTTGCCAGAAATCTATGGGACATGTTCCTAAATATTTATGGGCTATCGTGGTTTATGCCACGTAGCATGAAGGATGGCTTAATCACCTGGTATAGTTGGAAGGGGCAAAAATCAAGAAGAAATATGTGGCAAACCATTCCTAGACTCCTAGTTGTATATTATAGTCAACATGGACATTACAGGAATCTGAGATATTTGAAGGAACCTCAGATTCATCCCTAGGAGCTAGATGTCTTATTAATTTGTGTAAATGTTATTATTGTGTAGGGACCAAGCGTCCTACTTTTGTAATACTACATCCTCTGCATGACTTCAATTACTAAGATATCCTACCTTATCAAAAATGAAATCTACGAATCAAAAAAAAAAAAAAA